TGCCCTCCCTGTCTCTGAAAGCTCCTCCCACCCCAGAGGGACCCGGGTTTCCTAAGGAACTCCCATCGAAGTTCAGCTTCACCCATTGATGTGCAGGAGGGATCCATTGCTCCTTTAACACAGACCTCAATGAGGAAGAGTTTGCCACAGTGTACCATCCTCTAAACAAATCATCAGCTGAATAATTTTTAAATAAAGGGGATGCTTTAAGCCAATGAATGACTGCAAAAAGGAGATAAAAAGGACGTATTTCCTTTTTGCAGTTAAAAACTCAATGTTCATAGGGGCATTTTAACTGCAAAAAGGAGGTAAGTCCTTAAAATATGTAATGCCAAATGCAGCCTTAACCAAAAAAAAAAAACTTTGACACCTTGGAAAGCATTATAGGCTAAAGCCCATCTTATAATCAGCTTCTCAACTTTCCTACATAGGTTATCAAGTATCAACAGAAGATGCCTTGTTTTCAAACGTCCTATCATTCCTCTCCTTCCACACACTCCAGCAAACAGCTGTAGCAATCTTCCAAAGGATTCTGCCTCTCCTACTGAAAGCACCAGATTTCAAAGCCAAGACCAGGCTGCTTACATTTGGAGGAACCACCCACAACAGACCAAACAACCGTAGAACAGCAATGAAGTCTTTGACTTGGTTGGATTTCCATTTTAATATATTGATTATATTTTTGGGAGTTGTGCTTTTAGATAACGGCATGTAGACTCTTTGTTACATTGTTAAATGACAACAATAAAGGAGCAATAAAGGTGACTGCTTCTCTTTGTTGCAGTAAGTGTTAGGCCGGAAGAGGGGTAGGTCCATTGGAATCTTGATTTATGAGTCCATTAAATTGAAAGAAAATTCAAATGGCAAATCATTCTCTGCCAGTTTATGATAGGATGGTTAATTAGTTTCTTCCATTTTGTCTTTTAACTTTTTCTAGATGACTATCGAAGTTAGAGTCTCTTTAAATGCCTTTTGAATTTGGCTGGTAATAAACCTAAGGATTGGAAGCTAATTCTGACAAATGTCTGCAGGTGTGGAGACGACAAGGCATTTCTTGCTAGAATGGCTTAGCTATACATGTAGATACATTCCTGTTGGCCTGTTAGATATTATTCCTCAGCGACTAAACTGGAGGCCTCCCAGCTACTTTGGTCGCAATGACCTCGAGACCTTAATGGCCTCTGATTCTGCAGCTGACTGGGTATATTATTTTATTCATGGTGACCATGGATGAGTATTTTGCTGGAAGGAGATCCTATTTTAGTTTTTAATAAATGTGTCAATGTGTTTCTTTTAAATACAGGCTGTTGATAAAAAATGGTTTTCTTTTTATTCTTGGTGCAGATTCGGATCTCTGAGATGTTGCTCGGCAAGGTTCCATCTGGCTTCACATTCGCTCCAAAACATAAATCTAATGCTTATGACCGAGCAGAAAATGGTTAACTTTTTATGCAAATTCGCCAAGTAAATAAGTGGATTTGAAAATGGTGTTTAGGTGCACCTCACTTGTCATTTCCCTAGCTTACGGCTTTGTGCCAGTCTGGTCTTTTTAGCTTCAGGCGTTTCAGCTACATTTATGGTTGTGATGCTTGAAAAAGATGAATGCCTGCTGCCCAGTATGGTGCTAAGCTGATACGTATTATGCGGGGTGAGAAATTGAAAATACAATACTGATGGAATATGTTGTCATTGTATTTTAAAATGTTTAAGCAGTCTAGGGATTCTACCTTAGAACAATAGTAGTAGTAAACTAATTGAGAAAAATAATGCAGAAAATAGATCAGCCTATTTATGAATAATCAACTGTTACTTGTCCATTCTCAAATAAGTGCTAGTCTTGTATATTATCTTCCAGCACGAGTGCTTGTGATCTCGTATATTTTGATTTAACATGTGCTAATGCTTAAACCTGATTTTTTGGTCTGAATTAATGTTAATTCATTATGATCCCAATGCTCTGGTTGTAATGTCAATTCCATTTATGCATTGATTTTCCTTTTCATGTAGATAAATTAACTTTTATGGTTCCTAACCAGTTTTCTTAATACATAATTTAGTTTTTTACTGGAACCCTTGTCTCAAGAGTTAATACTAGATCCATGATCCATAAATAAAATAGATTAGAATAAACAAATAATAATCCATAAATAATTTAATAATTAATTATTTTTTAGAATAAAAAATAACATTATAATTAAGTCATAAGTATTAACAAAATAAAATATTAATAATAAATGAGAAATTAACAAAAATTATAATATTAGTTAACTTTAATAATTAATTAACAAACTAATAATTTACAATAAAATACTAAATCATAAAAGTGTTATTAATTTTATTAACAATTAGCAACAAAATATTTAATAATAAATTAATAGTTTAATTAAAAGAAATAATTTATCAATGAAAATAATTTGATAATTTATGAATAATTAATTTTAAATTATTATAATTATTAATTAAGTCATGTGTATTAATAAAATGTAATATCATTAATAACTTATAGACTAATAAAATGTAAAATATTAATTAATTAAAATAATTAACTAATTATGGATTTAATTAATTATTATCTAATTAATAATAAAAAGTATTATTACTAATTAACAATTAACGAAAAATAGTTAACAATTAATTAATTAAGTAATTAATAATTGAATAAAAATGATTTTAAAATAATAATAATAATAATAATAATTATTATTATTAGTTATTGTTAATTCATAGTAAATATTAATAAAATAAATTTTAAAATATTACTTCTTAATTAATAATTAATTAGATAATTACCAATATTAATTAATTATAAACTTATTTCCTTAAAATTTTTATAATTAATAATAGTAAAATATAAAATAATAAAAGTATTACTAATCAATTAATTAATAATCGTTACTAGCATAGATTTTCACACTATTTTCCCTTTTGCAACCAAACAATGGAACATGAAAAATTTCCACCCGTTTTCCCTTTTCCATCCCATCCCACCAAATTCTTCCAACCGCTATAAACAAGACATGTAACAATGGCCAATGGGCAATGAAAGCCCAATCATCAGTGCTCCATACTGTTACCAGATGTATCGAGATTCATTGCACATGTCTAGTTTGTAGCAAATCATCGGACTCTTCTACTCTTCGTTGGACGTTGGGGGTTCTGATCTAATATCAATTTGTGATTTAGTTGAGTTGGTTTCTAATAGGGTAGCCGGTTTGTTACGATGGGAAACTCGTTAAATTTTGCTTGTATACGTGGGGCCGAGTGATGATTGTGCTGGTGGAAGGAACTGATCCATCCAAGGTAAATTCTTTGGTACAATAAAATGGTTGATCTAAGCTTTGGGGGTTTGGAAGAAGAATTGAAGGTGAGAAAGACGAATTTGCATCGACATCCCACAAAGCGTGTCCCATGCGCACCCCACAGCACATTCCAATAGTGTATTGGAGAACATATCCCCATATCCCCATGACAAGAGTATGGGAGATGTTTCCAATGCATGGTGGGATGTGCATGTGGAGCACCAATCTGAACTGAAGAGAGTGTATAGAGGCACAAAGAAGTTATCATGCAAATAGGGGTGGATTCGAGCTAAATACTTGGTTATTTGATCTCGGCTTGCAAGAATAGTATCAGGCTCGAGCTTGACTTAATTCATAGCTCGCGAGTTCGAGTTCAACTCGACTCGAGCTCGACTATAAGCCAAATTTTTTTTTGAAAAATAAAAATTATATGTATGTATTATTTATTTAATACATACATATTATATATACAATAAAAATAATTTATTCAATACTAGGCTCGCAAGCATCACGAGTCGAGCTTCACTGGGCTCAAGCTTGGCTCAATTAGTAAACAAGCCTATATATCAGGCTCAAAGCTTGGTTTAAATCGAGTCGAGCCGAACTTTTCACAAGCCAAGCTCGAATTACTCATGAAAGGCTTGACTCGTGGCCACCCCTATATACAAGGGTTTTATAGAGATGACGATGGGGTAGATTAATTGTGTATACTCTATTCAGGTGGATACGTTTTTTTTAGAGTTTGATTTGAAGCCGGTTCAACAATGCAGTTTTCAGCAAAACTGCAATCTAACACTTTGGATCGTACAAGGGAGGTGAGCATGAATTTTCTCTGTATTTTTCTTGCAAAAATCAAAGGTGAAACTGATCAAGATCAATCCTAGAAGTGGAGGCCGAATTAGGGTTTTTGGGGTGGCAAGAATAGAGAGAGAGAACTGAGAGCAATGCCAAGTGGAGCAGATTCGATATCCTCTTTTCTTAGCCTTAAGGATCACCACTCCTAATCAAATTAAGAGGTTCCTAATCCAAATCTTTATTTGGATTTGGACTCTCTAAGTGGATAAGACTTATCCTCTTATCCTAATGGTTGATTCAGACCCATATCAAAGCCCATATTTGCCCAAATCACATGACTGCTTAAGTCGTCATGTGACACCTTGATTAATCCAATTAATTATGGGCTTTAGGCCCAATAAGCAAGTGGTTCACATCCCTAGGTGGTTGCTGGCTCATTTAGGTTCACTTTGTATGGTGTGGGACTCCAACAATGACCTTACATAAGCCCATATGGGTTCGGCCCAGCCTCTGTGAAAAGGCCTGGCCAAATTCACTATTAAATATAGTGAATCCCTGAGTCCATCAGTATGGGCTCTTAATGAGCCCAACATTTACAGTAAATGATCCTTAAGTCCATCTATCCTATGAAGGCCCAATGGCAATAGACTTAAGTAAGATATAGTCTATTAGGTAAACAACCCTTAATGGTTTCTTACACTTAACCTCTCAGTCCATATTGGTAAAACATTACCCAACAGGGAAGGACCTCTCCCCTGGTTGCAAGGTGCAATGTCACATTCTCTGTTCGGATGGGTCCTGAGAATTAAAACATGTTTCTTAAAACATAATATATATATATATATATATATATATGATCATATAAATATATTTTGCAAAACAAATCTAAAACACGGTTGAAATTGACTGCTGATAGTTTTGGTTTCCATAAGAGAGTGCAGTCCCGATCATTCACTTTGTCCGACAAAGGGGGTGATCCTATCATTATGATCATCCACTTGAGTGAATTCTCAGACTGCCCCAACATACCTAGGTTTTGACTCCAAAGGATCTCACCGATTAGCATATCAAAGATAACCCGATCCAATACCCAATGCAGTACCATAATCGAGTCTAGGGGCTAGGTGCAACTTTCCAGTTTTGTCCATCAGTTTCCAAGGTTGTGGGCATAACTAGAAAATGGTTCGGGTTCAATGTTTCAAACAAACACACACTACATGTGCTTTGGGTCCAACCCCGGCAGCTGAGACTGGTTGCCCCAACCTTCTTGACAACACATTAGTGTCAGCCTTGACAGGATAAACTCCCCAAATCTATCCAACGGCTGAGAATATTGTAAACTAATACGAGTCTTATAAGTATTCAGTTTAAGTGATAATTATACAAAAATACACCAATATAACATGAAATAATTATGTACTTTTTATTCATTTACAATAAATGCATCAATACATTAATTCAATTGGAGTCAAGGACATATATGTTAGATCATGTTGGGAGTATATTAGAACGTATTTGTTAGCGTGTGATCTCAACTTGTCTTTTCTGTTTGAGGTTTTGTAACTTTTGTTTGTTTGTTGTTATTGGGTTCAGGTCAGATTCAGCTTGGCCAAAGTTATTATAACAATTTGGGTTAGGAGTAATAGGTAGGTATCTGCTCCCAAGAAAATGCTCCCAAGGCTGTCCCAACAGTCGACTATATCTATGTACTACTGCAATGGCTGGTTGGAGAGTTGTTGTTATCATGTTTTAGCTGATCCGTATCCCAATCCAGGAGTAACTTGTGCCACTCTATAAATAATGACCCACCTAATTGTATATTCAGGGAAGTACACCGCAGGCACCGCAAAATTCTTTAATTAGAGAGGTTGTTTGATCCACGGTCAGGATTCATTTGTGGGCCTAAAAATTCTGAGGTGGGTTGAATTCACCCTTGTATATTTGGTCAGGGCTCCACCAACCCTTACAAGTTACACCTCAACTGTAGACCATCGGAAATTCCCCTTATACCCCTATACGAGGCTTGCGTATCTTTTTCTCTCTGCTCTTTCTTCTTCCTCTCGTCTACCCTGTGTGTACCATACAAGCTTAGGGTATTTTTTCCTTATACTCGTTCTTTTTCCTCCCAGTTGTTGTTCTTCTTCCCTTCGGTGATTCCGTTGGCCGGTCTTCTCCCCTCCAATGCCATCCCCGAAGTTTCTGGTAATCTATTTGCATCTCCTTGAATATCCCAGTTCTAGAGTTGAGGGTTCCGTAAAGTCTCTCCGGTACTCCCTGTTTTCTTTTCAACAAGGTCCCGTTAGTGTGTCCTGTTTCCACTGATTCCAGTGCGGAAGGTTCCGTTAGACTCTATGTTTCATCCCGGTTTGAACAAGGTTCCCTTAGTCTCTCTTCTTCCCTCCGGTTCCAGTGATTACGCTCTCGTTAGGCTATGTGGTTCCTCCCGATTTGATCAGGGTAACCTCTCATTGGTGAAGCTCTCCCTTAATAATTAATTAGTTTCACTCATTCTTTAACAGGGTGTGTGTCGTTCCCCGACACGTTTTCTTCTTGCCAAGCTTCAGAGGGATTCCCATTCCCACTCCCCGAAACGTTTTCTTCATACCGAACTTGGGAGGGATATTCCCATTCCCAAATTGGAAGTTCGTCGGCGGCTATTGTAGGTTATTTCGCGCAATTACCTACTTCCCCACCCCTGTTGTGTTGTCTGAAGCGCTGCATTGCGGGTGGTGGATCCTGTTTGACCGGACGCAAAGGTTCCTTGCATTCTCACCATTTGCGTACTCCCTATTCTCTGCTGAGTTGTTTTACATTTTTTTTTTTTTTTTTGCAAGTGTTTGTTGATATAAACCATTGAAATATCACGTAACCTGAACCTTCAAAGAAGTTAGCTTGCTAGTCCATTACCATTGCCATAAGAATCGGTCAGTCTGTTAAGAGAGTTAATCTGTTAGTGTGCTGCATAAGAATAGGTCAATTTGTTAAAGAGGTTAGGTTGTTAGACTATGGCATAGGAACCTGTCAGTTAGTTAGAAGGGATAATCCCATAATTAAGGGCTAGTTTAGTGGTAATTAGTTAAGTTCATCTTGTATTTAAACACCAACAACCAGCTGAAGTGGTGTTGGAAATTAAATAAAAATCTTGTGGGTTTCATTCTCTCTTTCAACTCTAGCTTTGACTGGGACCTATCACCTTAATTTTTCGACAATCATAGTTTGGATTTTAGTTTTGATCTCTGTATAAATAAGACTATATTGGTTGTGACAACAATTGTGGGTAGGACAGAGGTTCGTTGTATTTATCCTGTACTATGTTGTGTAAATGCCATACTATAGTCACCTATACCAATCCAAATCGATTTTGTATCCTCGGATGCAAACATCAATTCCCTTACAGCCAACTAGACGCACTTGTACAGTAAAGATATAGTCAAACCTAGTAGACATGGTATGGCTATACTGAAATTCAAGACATCCATTCGTAATTCTAGTCCTTCACGAGAGTCATGTCATTTGCATGTCGGAATAGATTTTCATCCCCCTTAATCGTTGAATCTCATACACCGAAGTTATAAAAACGTTGTTTTTTAGCATGGTTTTTGCTTATTTTTGTAGGTTTGTAGTGACCATGCAGATCATGATGCTCTACTAAACCTGTGCGGGAGTTGTTGGATAGTCTCCTGCAAAGCACAAGGACATGCCCCAACAGACTCCATTTGGGCATTTCCTAAGGCTCGGTTTGAAAAAAAGTACAAATACAAATTTGTAGAATATAAAACCTATGTAATTGTATTTGTACTCCTTCAAAACTGAGCCTAAACGTGGGTCAAGACCTAGTTGAATTATGGGACCCGAATACTCACTACTTCAACCTAGGAGGTAGGGTCATGGAACTTTCTGAAAGTGATGTTGCCCTGATCACTGGCCTTAGCTTGAGGGGTATTACCGTTGACCTGTCAAGTGGGATGGCCATTAAGGCATTGTTCTTGTCATTCTTCAAGCTCCCTGAAAACCGTGCATCCAACATAGAGCTAGATGCGGTGCTTCGCCGGTTGAAAACTATTGTGAGGTTGGAAGGCCAAGAGTACATTCAGGAGGTTGTAAAGGTGGTCTTCCTCTTCATCTTTGGCAGTGTATTGTTTCACACTAAGCAGTTTCCGAGTGAGTTTCATCTGGGCCAGTTACATTGACGAATGATGATTTGGAGCGCATTGGAGATTATGCATGGGGAGATGCGTGCATAACTATCTTGACCCCTAGCGTACATCTAATGATGCCTAAGCCCTTGATAGATTGTTGAATTCTTGACCCCTAGGGCTGAGGAACTGCCCTTGCTAGATGTTGTTGGTAGTAATGTCCCAGTTAGTAAAATTAATGGAATTAGTCTTGTAAGGACCAATGTGATAGGTCCCAATCAAAGCTAGAGTTGAAAGAGTATTCTGCTTAGGGTGAGAATGAAACCCACAAGATTTTTAACTAATTACCACTAAACTAGTCCCTAATTATGGGATTATACAGATTCCTATGCCATAGTCTAACAACCTAACCTCTTTAACAAATTGACCTATTCTTATGCAACACACTAACAGATTGACTCTCTTAACACACTGACCCACTCTTATGCAACAAAAAGAACTGACTAAACAACTACCTCCTGATGTAGATCTTCCAACCATACGCCGAAGGTTCAGGTTACGTGATATTTGTATGGGCCATGCGTCTAGTGCTCACATGTTTTGTCGTTCTAATTAAGTTGAGGAGCCCGTCGGCCCAAGCAATGATGAGGAGAGGCATGGTGCGACTGATGACCCTGCTGAATTTGGTGAGCATAGAGGGAAGAAGGTACTTGTGTCTTTAGTTGAATGATACGAATAATAATTCACCCATTGACATGTAACCATACGTAGTAATTAATTCCTGTGTTGTTTTCATCTACAGGGCTTCTGCAAAAGTTGCGTCGAGTCGTTGGAATACCAAATTCTTCAAAAGAAGGCCAAAGAGTATGCATCAATGAAGCAGAATGCAGTGCTTCGCACCGAGGTCAATAGGTTGCATGCAATGCTGACCTACAATGGCATTGACCCCGATGGAGTCCCTTTGAGCGAGAGAGTGTTAGCATTAGCCTCCTGCTATTGAAAGTTGATCATCACCGCACCGCTATGCCCCCTGTTGGTTTAGCCAACAGCACCGATGCAGCTCTCTCTCTTGAATGGATTACCATTGAAGCGGCCTCCTGGTTATGTGATATCGTTCAACCGTCTCCATCTGGCCTATCCATTTTCAAACGTAGATCAACCCAGGTAAGGAGAGAGCAGTTCCAAAGTAGCCTAGTTGTCTCCCAGTGTCAGGTGCCAACACATCATGGGCAAGTTGCAAACATGTTTGCCATTGCAGCTGATCCGAAGAAAGTGCAGCAGGAGAAGGTGAATTAGAATTAGTAGATGTTGTCCGCAGGTTTGAATTTGTTAATGGCGTATTGATTACTGATGTCTTTGTTGCATACTCTTGATTAGGGGTGATCATGGGCCTGGCCTGTGTCGGGCTTTGCACTTATGATAAGGGTTATAGTTTAGGTCCGGGCCCGGCTCGGCCTGGGGTTTTAGACCTGAAACACAAGACCTAGCCCAGGTTTATACGGGCCTGGGCCAGATCGGGCCTGATTCTGGGCTAATGTCACTCATATATAAAATATTACATATCGATATATTAAATGACATAACATGCATATAAATTTATTTTATATATTATATAATATAAATTATATATGTCATGTTATAATATTTATATATAATGTAAAATAATGTATACATTATACACAAAATGTATAAGTTTAAATATATGCAAGCCGAATTTAAAGTATTAAGCTCAAATCCGGCCCTAAAATTTGCGGGCCTGGGCCAGGCTGTTTTAAGAAGAAGAGGCTATTATGAAAAGTTGATTCCACCGCACAACCCGTTTACTTTCAGTTGACCCATTGTTGACCCCACCCCCTTGTCATTTTTGGTCTCTAATAAATGATAACCCTTTATTGCAGTGAGGAGTCTGTCTGTATGGAGTAATGGCGATATGTGGTTGAGTGCACGGTGGCTGCGGCGCCTCTTTGAGACATATGCTTAGGTATACAATGAGGTATGTTTTTTGTTGTGAATGCATCGTTTATTGTTGAAAATAGCTTAAATGCGATCAGTGTAGCCTGTTTGCCTTCATACCTATTGGTGCTTGCTTGACTCTGCTCTTGTATAGGTGATAGATGCGTACGGATTCTTGGTGGTTGCACGATCGATAAATTTGGTGAAAGTGTGCCATGTTGTCACGGGGGTAGTTCTACAACGGAAGAAACCCGTGCGGCGTCCTGGCCAAGGCAGGACAGGACAAGCCTTTATGCGCTTAGAGGCTAGGAGTTGCCCGATGGGATGGCTCCACCAAAGTCAGTAGCACTGGATCATGACCTCAAGTC